AAACTTTTTATTTTCGGTCAATCTCTACTAATTTTTTTTCAGGAATTTCAGGTCATTTTATATTATATTAGACAATAGAAATGCGAACTGATGAAATATAAATAATATAATTGCACTTTTATGAGTCAATTATAATCCAATTCATTTCAATCCTTTTGTTCCATAATGAAATAAAATAAAAAAAATCTCTGCATATAACTAAGTATTATGTAGTTCTAACAATTGATGAAGTTCAAAATTTCATGAATTTGGCATTGAATTTTCTCATTGGTGTTTATTCTTTAACATGAAACATCACCGAAATTTAAAATAAAACTAATGAACCTATCAATGATTCAGCAGAAATGGTCAAAATATTCAACCATTCGCTAAGTGTTAGTTGAGAATTGGCTAAAAAAATCAATAGTGATGAAAGCTATATTGATAAAAAAGTAACACTGAATTCCATTTCCTCCTCAACAACTTCTGAGAGTGAGGTAATAACTCCTTAAATAACCTTAAAAAATAAAAAATCTTCAGGATATGACGGCATGAAAGCGAAAACTCTAAAAATAATTCGAAATTACATCAGTTCTCCTCTGGGAAATATAAAAAATGAATCTTTTGAACTAGGTCATTCCCCTGATGCTTTCAAGATATCAGTTTCCACTCCTGTATATAAAGAAGGAGATGTACAAAAAACTTTAAATTTCAGACCGGTTTCACTCATAACATCTTCGAGTGAAATAATAGAAAAAAATCATGAAACATAGACTGAATGAATTTCTAAACAATTACCATATCCTGTCTGCTCCACCGTGGCATACTTCTGGCTACTCTGCATCATTGGCATCAGAGGTGCAGTCTACAACTTATTCAAAAGTTATTCAAGTAACAGAAAAAAGAAAGTAAAAATAGAAAATTTGACAAGCATCGATGAAACAATAACATGCGGAATATCTCAAGGAACAATACTACGACCTGTGTTATTTACATCTACAACTAAATCTACAGGAAATACTCGATTTTGCGGATGATACTGTGATAGTTTACATAGGTATGATCTGAAAGTCAAAGCAAAAGAAGACTTGAAACATTCAAATAAATGTTTCGACAGTAGACTTTTCTCGTCGAACATATTACTTTCCATTCAGTAATCTCTATCCCGCTATGATTTTACCATTCAACAAGATTCGAAAATTGAACCTGTGAAAAAAATGTTGCTTGCCAGCTTGACTGCATTACCTTTTCTTGATTTTATATCATTTCTAGAAACATGTGGATCCGTTTTCCTTTGACATCCCGACGCTAACATAAAAATTAGGCAAGCTAACTTGGATAACCGCCACTTATATCTCGCTTGTTTTCACGCAGTTATTTTCGACAAAGATTGTTCTTGGTGTTTTGCATTTTGTCTTATCAGTCCTGAGGGTAAGGGAGCTGGGCTCCAACCTGCTTGAAATGAAGATGACTTCCACTTGCATTTTGTCTTCAATCGAGAAATGCCTGCCCGGTACTGACGATGCCCACCAGGCTGAAACAGCTGTCTAGCGGTGGTTTTCAAAATGAAATCAAATTGAGAATGATTAATCAAAAATGGAACAATTCGTGGACATAACACTCCAACATTGTCACGTAGTACACGTAGGTACAGGATATAAATACAGATATAGATGTTATCGAGTGTGTATGATATGTATGATATAAATCAAATATGTAACAATTCGTAGGCATAACATTCTAAAAACGGGGTGATTTTTCGAGTTGGGTTATGAACTTGAGGTAACGAATAATAACGTGGTGCTACGGAATTGCTTATCAATGACCCAGTTGTAATGATATCTACTTTGCGACAATTTTTTAATTTTGTAACTATTTTATTCGCTTTCTGCTGTAGATATATCACGATTAGTAATTTGAATTTTGAAATTCAGAATTTTCTTCCTCAACTTCAAATTAAATATCAATTTGACGTCCTGTTCGTCTTTTCGATAATTCATTAAGTTGATTATGTTATGTATTCAATTGACTATATTATTGGGAAATAAACTCATTTGTCTGCATTCTGAAATGTTTCCAATTCAATGTGATCATTCTTCCAAGTATTCAAGAAATTGTTCTGTAGCATTTATTAGATCCAATCCATCACATATTTTCTTTATATTAACATAAGTTCCTGGTGGATCACTTTCAATTTCAGAAACGAATTTGGTTTCGAATGAATCAGGTGTGAATAATTTTTCAGATCCTTTTCCTTCGAACATATAACCTTCTTTAGTGAATCTTTCTGCAGCAAGCCTCACTAATTCACCCATATACATTCCAGATATCATTTTTTCATGCAACTGTTTACCAGGATTTATAGTTCTTTTGTCGATATCAACATCATATTTCACTCTACAAAAGTCTAAAGCTCCATCATCACCAAAAGCGCCCCATTCTAAATTAATGATAACATTTCCAGAACCCATATCTGGTTCATCGAACAGTTCTGCTTCGGATTGCTTCTCAACATAACAGCCATTTGTACCTGTTCCAACAATGAGTCCTATCCGTGTGTTCCTATTTTTCCACGCACAGGACATCAAAGTACCTGTAGTGTCATTCAGAACAGCACAAACATCAATATTCACATCTCCTCTTCTTGCTATAGCATCTTTCAACATTTGAGCAACATCATTTCCTACTACACCATCACAAGAAAATCCTTTTGTCCATCTTTCCAGAATGCCTACTGTGAGCCCTTTTTGCATTACCGGAAAGCTGAAAGTGAAACCAAGAGGAAGAGTTTCCGCTGCAACACCATGCTCAATAGAAAATTCTGCCAAACACTGAGCAATGAAATCAAATAAAGAGGTTCCGGGGCCAACCATTAAATCCTGTGATATAACGAATATTTTAGATTGCATCTGACAGTTTCCTCCATCAAGTTCTATCAGCAAGACTCGGAAGTTACTGCCCCCCAAATCTAAAGCAAGAAATTTTCCACTTTCCGTGCCATCCGGTAGATCTTGAACATAAGTTGGAAAACATTTGACAATTGCGGTGGGATGTGTTTCTTTCTTTAGGCCTCTTTGAATGTTATCAAGAAATGTAGTCATGTAGGTTTGTATCTGTTCATCAGTCAATATCAACTCTTGACAACCAGCTACTATTTCTGGCGTTACTTGGAGGCCAGAACTGGCCTCAGGAGGATTGCATACTTTACTTTTGCACTTTGAAGTCATATCTGTGAAACTGCAACAATAAATTTCATAAAATTTGAACCAAATCTGAAGTATTTGACAAATTTTGACACATGCCAAATAATATAAAAAAAATGAGTACAGAAAAATTTGATCTTATTTGGTATCGCCTAATTAGACAGAGGAAATCCTTCAATACAAATTTGGTATATCAAGAGTTGAATCAGAGATATTCAAGTTTATTGACATTTTTTTGCCGATGAGTATCAACTTCAGTTAGGAAACACCAATATGTTCTAATTAGAGGAATATTTAATGACGGTTATGTAGGATGTTCATGTGTTTGAATTAAACCTTGTCAAGTTGACACGAAAATTATATTGCAGTATATACTTCTAGTCAGTTACATTCAACCCAATTGCCTTCATTTACTTTTATAGAAAATTGGTGCAATGATATGAGAAGAATTCGTACTAATATTCAATTCTGAAACATATGGAAAAATGCAAAACGTACTTCCTGCGAAAAAGATGAAAGATTTATAAATACGAATTTATTTTTACTTCTGAGATTCAACTCTAGTACAAGATATTAAAGTGAAAATTAATACCCTGGGTAACATATCCTGATAATATGAGAATATGCAAATTTGCCAAACTGAAGAAATGTCAGTTTACCTACTGTAAAATTCCGAATATTTTCGGAAATATCCGGAAAAAAACTGAAACTCGAAATTTTCGTTTTAATTTTTATCTAGCGTTATTTGATAACGTAGCTCAAAACAAGAGACATTCTCATTGATACGTTTTTCATCTACACGTTTTCAAGTTTAGATTTACTATCTGAAATTTTGTCTTATGGCAATCATCATCAACTTTTTTCTCTATTATGGGCGCCATGTTGTTCCTTATGCAGAAAAAAAGTGCTTCTTATTCTGATTTCATTGATGTATGATTTATTATGATCTGCTTCTCTAAAAACACACGTACTAAAAAAAAACAACTTCATCTGAGATGACTACATTGAAATATTTTGTTTAATGAGAAGTAGTTGTCAGAACTCATCAAACATCATAAGTTTGCACAAATACTTCAGTCAAAATGTCCTCATTCTCAAACGAAGAATAACGAGATATGTTGAAACTTCATCACAAATTTGATAGGAATAGTACCAAAACAGCACGAATTTATTTCGAATTATTTTCGAACTCAATACACTCCTATCAAGATAAAGTAACAGCTAATATTACTATTACTATTACTATTTCCCAACACCAAACCGTTATTTTGACACCACGACACGGGTTTCGATCACCAAGTGATCATCTTCAAGTGGAAGATCAAACTAAGCATACTTACAAAGCTATCCTTATTTATACCATAGATACATACCTAATCTAGGTACCGTTCTAGGAAATATTTTCGTGTATATCCAAAGTTCACGAAGAAACACGTATCAAGGCGTTAAAAATAACGGTTTGGTGCTGTGAAAAAACTCCAATGATATTTATCACTACACCAAAGGTTCCAAACAGTGCATCACAAGTATATGAAGTAGCAGCGTTCAATATAATAACTTCCACAGACTATTGAGTAGTCTACTGTCAGAAAGTAATTTCCAGAATTTTATTAAACAAATCGTTTTCAACCACGATTACAAGATAGATATTATCGACTTCCTTCTTTTGCAAAAACTACGAAAATAAGCCTTCTACCCTGTCTATTCCACTTCATGAATCAATAATAAGCGTTATAGAATATTGACATACCTACTTTGGTAAATCCACCAATAATATCGCTCTTTTTTTTTGATAAAGACAGACTTTGACGTGGCTTACCGGACAACAAAAAAATGAAACTCAATCTCAGAAATTAATTGATTTGAAAATTCTAAGAATTTACTCAATGACCAGCTGAAATTGAATAATTACCCCATCTGAATATGAAAAGTTCATTTCATGATGTACGAATTTTTACTCAGTTTCTACCCAATCTTATGTAAAACCATCAGTCATTGAACGGGTAGAAAATATAAGGCTGAAATTCTCTTTTTATTCTGTTCTTCCATACTGTTTATTTGAATCAGTTTTTACCTAAACTCATTACGGAGGTAGCAGCTCATATAAGCCGAATTGTTTATATATGAAACACAAATTGAGTAGAATTGAATCAGTATAAAAACGCTTGAAAACCTTTTGTATAGGGAAATAGGTGTTACGGTTTGGTGAAAACAAGTGTTATTTGAATACGTTATGCGTTTTCATCACATATCGGACAATTCCATCATACTTTTTAATAGATATTCAAAAATTCTCTTAAAATGGAAAAATTTGAATGGATGTTCCGAAATACGGATTTACAGTTTTTGTTGTTGTTAGTTTCTAGCAGAAATAGATTTTTTTTATTTTGATGAATAAATTTCAAAATAAAGAAAGTGGATCGTTTCGAAATAGATCCACTTTTATAACTTCTGATTTTCACCAATTGGAAAGTTGAAATCAATTTTCAGTCTAATCATCTACTGAATATTCCAATTTCAATAAATAACTTTACATTACCTACTACTCATTTTTAGTCAGTCTCCATTTATTTCCAAAGTTGCTAAATATTATCATGTACGCCCCTGTTGAAAGGGCAAAGATATTTCTTGAACTGGCCGCGGCCCACCTGGGGCAAGACGATAAGATCAATAGTTTATAATTAATTGTGTTTTTATATTTTGTTTAATCATTCTATTAGAACCGATCTTCGGACTGGTATGGTACAAAAATAATACAAAGAGAACATTTTTCAAATGCCATTGCAGAGTGTTTTTGATTGAAGATTGGAACGCTTTTCAGATAGGTGTTCGAATATTTCCGAAGATGTATCTGATGGACCATTAAGCTTGTTCTAGATGCAGGTACGATATGTCACAGACATCATGATTTATTTTGCTGAACTCTTAGGGTGTCCTAGAGATGGCATATGTTCATGAAGAAGTAATTACGCAAAAATACTTGCAACAAACTGTTAATAGTCATGACAGCTCATTCTTGTTCAGATCGAAAAAAATCTGAATATTTAAAACTAGTTGTTTATAATGAACTTTAATCGGAAACGATTCTGCAGTTTGGTGATATAATATTCGAACATACAATGTGGACGTGAAAAATCACCCCACTTCTTAGACAACATATCAAGCAAGGCCAAAATTTTCGTTAAAAAAATAAGACAATGGTTTTGCATCATCAGTCGTCAAGAAGGAATTGCTAATTTTTTTCAGTGAAAAAAGTGATTTGTGGTATATCTGCAAACGAACAGTGAATATGATTGGTAACGATTACCAAGACTCTTTCGCATAATCAACAAAGAAAACATGAAAAATTAACAAATATTTTCAAATCCAAAAAAATCTACAAACAACAACACCAATTCAACAACCATCAACTCAACAAATGCCGATTTAACAACCACCGATATCCCACAACTAACGTTAAAGCCCATTACATAATTATCTGAGGAGAGAAGTTATTACAAATTTCTTACAAAACACAAATATAATATTGGATCCCAAAAACGCTACTGTTACCTTGATACTACAGTACTCCAACGTTAAAAATCACCAACAAGAAAAGGAACTGTTGTGAATGATGTAAGTCAAACCGTGTTAGGAATCACACGTTAAAAGGTAAGACCTCGTTAGTCCTCAGCTCGCACAAGTTTCTCAACTTCTGAGAGTTGTCGTACGTATGGGGGCGACAGCTGATTAACGAAAAAACAGGTTTTAAACAGATTTTAAACATATTTGATTATCAGACTACCCAAAGACTACCCAAAATGAGATATTTCTCAATGATGCGAAATACTTTAGGTTGCAAACCATTCACTCACATCGATTTCAATTATTTTGGACCTTTATAGGCACGAGGATGAACGATGACGTCTCCTGTTTGTGTACATGACAATTTGTGCAATACATTAAGAAATTGCATACTGTCTCATCACTGATGATACTATCATGGTCATAAGAAGGATGATATTTCGCCAAGGTCCTTTTAGACATATATACTCGGACAATGGCATAAATTGTAAGGGTGCTATTGAAGAACTTACGGAGTTTTACTGTGAACTCAATCACCATGGATGGTTGTCCACATTGCTGGAAACAATTGAAAAGTTTTGTCAGGGAATCACTGTAAAAAGGAAATATCTCAATGACGAAACGGGGTGAGCTCTGTTTGAAGGAGCAAAATATATAGTGAATAGCAGACATTCAACTTAAAGGTCTGCTATTGACTGATTCTTGCGATCCTAAGTGTCTGACTTCTGATTGGATGCTCTTTTGAAAACTCGTTTTCAATAAAATTCGAAAATCAGTACCTGAAAAAATATTGGAATATATTTCAGAGATTAGCTAATATCTTATTTTCATTCAGGTAGTTAATTCATACATACTGTATATTTATTCAGTTCTCATTTATATGTTATATAAGTTAACTCTGGAAGGAAGTGGTAGTTGTTGAACGTCAGAAGTCAGAATAGAGGCGTCATGGATAAAGTATTCGGTATTTCCTTGAAAAATTTAGTAAAATTTCAATAATTATCACATTATCACGATTCATAGGACTCTCGTAAGTATCATTCTTTGCTCATTGTTTTTGTCAAGGAACGACACTCACGTTTGATTACTGTTTACTCATTCAGTTAACCGCTATGTTGATTCCACATCAACTGTAGAATTTTAGATTACCGCTGCGTACTGTTTGATCATTGCTGGGAATTGCTCGTAAATTAGCTCTTACGAATTTAAACTCCTGAAGGAAAGACAGCTGGATAACGGAAATAAGATTCTGTCTACATGAAAATGTACCCTGAAGACCAAGAATTATCAGATATTTCTTATTTATTTTGGCACACTGAGAAAATGCACCGACTTTCAATGGCACAGTTTAGCCGAAGAGAAACTTCAAGAATCTCTATATATATATCACCTTTCAATTAGTTGATGATATCCAACGACTATGGATGGTACAGGATTGCTAACTTTTGCGATTTTGTTAGACACGTCACGTGATCTCGTGACGTAACAGCAAAGGATCGCCGCCTGTTTTATGCATATCGCAATGGAAAATGTATCAATCAGATTGTGGGTA